GGTGAGCGAGGAAATGCGGGACCACCGCTGGGAGAAACCACCGGAGCGATCGGTTTGGGAGGGATCCGATACTTGGGCGCCATCTAACCCCGCGCGAGTGAAGCCCTCGGTGCGCCGAACATAATGTGGCCGCAGCGTCGGACAGAGTCGTCACCTGAATGGGTTTCTTCACCCGTGGGTACAACAAGAAGTGGTGAGCGAGGAAATGCGGGACCACCGCTGGGAGAAACCACCGGAGCGATCGGTTTGGGAGGGATCCGATATTGGGCGCCATCTAACCCAGCGCGAGTGAAGCCCTCGGTGCGCCGAACATAATGTGGCCGCAGCGTCGGACAGAGTCGTCACCTGAATGGGTTTCTTCACCCGTGGGTACAACAAGAAGTGGTGAGCGAGGAAATGCGGGACCACCGCTGGGAGAAACCACCGCAGCAATCGGTTTGGGAGGGATCCGATATTTGTGCGCCATCTATCCCCGTGCGAGTGAAGCCCTCGGTGCGCCGAACATAATGTGGCCGCAGCGTCGGACAGAGTCGTCACCTGAATGGGTTTCTTCACCTGTGGGTACAACAAGAAGTGGTGAGCGAGGAAATGCGGGACCACCGCTGGGAGAAACCACCGGAGCGATCGGTTTGGGAGGGATCCGATACTTGGGCGCCATCTAACCCCGTGCGAGTGAAGCCCTCGGTGCGCCGAACATAATGTGGCCGCAGCGTCGGACAGAGTCGTCACCTGAATGGGTTTCTTCACCCGTGGGTACAACAAGAAGTGGTGAGCGAGGAAATGCGGGACCACCGCTGGGAGAAACCACCGGAGCGATCGGTTTGGGAGGGATCCGATACTTGGGCGCCATCTAACCCCGTGCGAGTGAAGCCCTCGGTGCGCCGAACATAATGTGGCCGCAGCGTCGGACAGAGTCGTCACCTGAATGGGTTTCTTCACCCGTGGGTACAACAAGAAGCGGTGAGCGAGGAAATGCGGGACCACCGCTGGGAGAAACCACCGGAGCAATCGGTTTGGGAGGGATCCGATATTTTTGCGCCATCTATCCCCGTGCGTGTGAAGCCCTCGGTGCGCCGAACATAATGTGGCCGCAGCGTCGGACAGAGTCGTCACCTGAATGGGTTTCTTCACCCGTGGGTACAACAAGAAGTGGTGAGCGAGGAAATGCGGGACCACCGCTGGGAGAAACCACCGCAGCAATCGGTTTGGGAGGGATCCGATATTTGTGCGCCATCTATCCCCGTGCGTGTGAAGCCCTCGGTGCGCCGAACATAATGTGGCCGCAGCGTCGGACAGAGTCGTCACCTGAATGGGTTTCTTCACCTGTGGGTACAACAAGAAGTGGTGAGCGAGGAAATGCGGGACCACCGCTGGGAGAAACCACCGGAGTGATCGGTTTGGGAGGGATCCGATACTTGGGCGCCATCTAACCCCGTGCGAGTGAAGCCCTCGGTGCGCCGAACATAATGTGGCCGCAGCGTCGGACAGAGTCGTCACCTGAATGGGTTTCTTCACCCGTGGGTACAACAAGAAGTGGTGAGCGAGGAAATGCGGGACCACCGCTGGGAGAAACCACCGGAGCGATCGGTTTGGGAGGGATCCGATACTTGGGCGCCATCTAACCCCGTGCGAGTGAAGCCCTCGGTGCGCCGAACATAATGTGGCCGCAGCGTCGGACAGAGTCGTCACCTGAATGGGTTTCTTCACCCGTGGGTACAACAAGAAGTGGTGAGCGAGGAAATGCGGGACCACCGCTGGGAGAAACCACAGGAGCAATCGGTTTGGGAGGGATCCGATATTTGTGCGCCATCTATCGCCGTGCGAGTGAAGGCCTCGGTGCGCCGAACAAAATGTGGCCGCAGCGTCGGACAGAGTCGTCACCTGAATGGGTTTCTTCACCCGTGGGTACAACAAGAAGTGGTGAGCGAGGAAATGCGGGACCACCGCTGGGAGAAACCACCGGAGCGATCGGTTTGGGAGGGATCCGATACTTGGGCGCCATCTAACCCCGTGCGAGTGAAGCCCTCGGTGCGCCGAACATAATGTGGCCGCAGCGTCGGACAGAGTCGTCACCTGAATGGGTTTCTTCACCCGTGGGTACAACAAGAAGTGGCGAGCGAGGAAATGCGGGGAGGGATCCGATATTTGTGCGCCATCTATCCCCGTGCGAGTGAAGCCCTCGGTGCGCCGAACATAATGTGGCCGCAGCGTCGGACAGAGTCGTCTCCTGAATGGGTTTCTTCACCCGTGGGTACAACAAGAAGTGGTGAGCGAGGAAATGCGGGATCACCGCTGGGAGAAACCACCAGAGCGATCGGTTTGGGAGGGATCCGATACTTGGGCGCCATCTAACCCCGTGCGAGTGAAGCCCTCGGTGCGCCGAATAAAATGTGGCCGCAGCGTCGGACAGAGTCGTCACCTGAATGGGTTTCTTCACCCGTGGGTACAACAAGAAGTGGTGAGCGAGGAAATGCGGGACCACCGCTGGGAGAAACCACCGGAGCGATCGGTTTGGGAGGGATCCGATACTTGGGCGCCATCTAACCCCGTGCGAGTGAAGCCCTCGGTGCGCCGAACATAATGTGGCCGCAGCGTCGGACAGAGTCGTCACCTGAATGGGTTTCTTCACCCGTGGGTACAACAAGAAGTGGTGAGCGAGGAAATGCGGGACCACCGCTGGGAGAAACCACCGGAGCAATCGGTTTGGGAGGGATTCGATATTTGTGCGCCATCTATCCCCGTGCGAGTGAAGCCCTCGGTGCGCCGAACATAATGTGGCCGCAGCGTCGGACAGAGTCGTCACCTGAATGGGTTTCTTCACCCGTGGGTACAACAAGAAGTGGTGAGTGAGGAAATGCGGGACCACCGCTGGGAGAAACCACCGGAGCGATCGGTTTGGGAGGGATCCGATACTTGGGCGCCATCTAACCCCGCGCGAGTGAAGCCCTCGGTGCGCCAAACATAATGTGGTCTCTGCATCAGACAGAGAGTCGTCACCTGAATGGGTTTCTTCACCCGTGGGTACAACAAGAAGTGGTGAGCGAGGAAATGCGGGACCACCGCTGGGAGAAACCACCGGAGCGATCGGTTTGGGAGGGATCCGATACTTGGGCGCCATCTAACCCCGTGCGAGTGAAGCCCTCGGTGCGCCGAACATAATGTGGCCGCAGCGTCGGACAGAGTCGTCACCTGAATGGGTTTCTTCACCCGTGGGTACAACAAGAAGTGGTGAGCGAGGGAATGCGGGACCACCGCTGGGAGAAACCACCGGAGCGATCGGTTTGGGATGGACCCGAGTCTTGGGCGCCATCGATCCTCGTGCGAGTGAAGCGCGCTCGGTGCGTCAAACATAATGTGGCCGCCGCGTTGGACAAGAGCAATCACCTAAATGTGTTTCTTCCACCGTTGGTACAAAACGCGGTGAGCGAGGGAATGCGGGATCACAGCCGAGAGAAACAAACGGAGCGGTCGGTTCGGGAGGGACCCGATACTTGGGCGCCATCTATCCCCGTGCGAGTGAAGCGCTCGGTGCGCCGAACATAATGTGGCCGCACCGTCGAACATAGAGTCATCACCTGAATGGGTTTCTTCACCCGTGTGAACAACAAGAAGTAGTAAGCGAGGCAATGCGGGACCACCGCTGGGAGAAACCACCGGAGCGATCGGTTTGGGATGGACTCGAATCTTGGGCGCCATCGATCCTCGTGCGAGTGAAGCGCGCTCGGTGCGTCGAACATAATGTGGCCGCCGCGTCGGACGAGAGCAATCACCTAAATGTGTTTCTTCCACCGTTGGTACAAAACGCGGTGAGCGAGGGAATGCGGGATCACAGCCGAGAGAAACAAACGGAGCGGTCGGTTCGGGAGGGACCCGATACTTGGGCGCCATCTATCCCCGTGCGAGTGAAGCGCTCGGTGCGCCGAACATAATGTGGCCGCACCGTCGGACATAGAGTCATCACCTGAACGGGTTTCTTCACCCGTGTGAACAACAAGAAGTGGTGAGCGAGGGAATGCGGGACCACCGCTGGGAGAGACCACCGGAGCGCCGGTTTGGGAGGGATCCGATACCTGGGCGCCATCTATCCCCGTGCGAGTGAAGCGCTCGGTGCGCCGAACATATCTGGCCGCAGCGTCGGACAGAGAGCCATCGCCTGAATAGGTTTCTTCACCCGTGTGTACAACAAGAAGTGGTGAGCGAGGGAATGCGGGACCACCGCTGGGAGAAACCACCGGAGCGATCGGTTTCGGAGGGACCCGAATCTTGGGCGCCATCGATCCTCGTGCGAGTGAAGCGCGCTCGGTGCGTCGAACATAATGTGGCCGCCGCGTCGGACGAGAGCAATCACCTAAATGTGTTTTTTCCACCGTGGGTACAAAACGCGGTGAGCGAGGGAATGCGGGACCACCGCCGGGAGAAACAAACGGAGCGGTCGGTTCGGGAGGGACCCGATACTTGGGCGCCACCTATCCCCGTGCGAGTGAAGCGCTCGGTGCGCCAAACATAATGTGGACGCACCGTCGAACATAGAGTCATCACCTGAATGAGTTTCTTCACCCGTGTGTACAACAAGAAGTGTTGAGCGAGGAAATGCGGGACCACCGCTGGGAGAAACCACCGGAGCGATCGGTTTGGGAGGAACCCGAATCTTGGGCGGCCATCTATCCTCGTGCGAGTCAATCGCGCTCGGTGCGCCGAACAGAATGTGACCGCCGCGTCGGACAGAGAGTCATCACCTGAATGGGTTTCTTCACCCGTGGGTACAACAAGAAGCGGTGAGCGAGGGATTGCGGGACCACCGCTGGGGGGGAGGAGAAACTACCCGAGCGGTCGGTTCGGGTAGGACCCGATACTTGGGCACCTCTATCCCCGTGCGAGTGAAACGCTCGATACGCCGACCATAATGTGGTCGCCGAGTGGGACAGAGAGTCATCGCCTAAATGTTTCGTCCACCGTGGCCGTCACTAACTATCACTCAATTTCCAAACTGTTTCTTGTAGAATTGGCGCTACCAGGGATAACGAAACGTACGGAGCATGTGCAAGAAAGAACGCATATCTGACAAGCTTTCTTGACGACACGACACGTTTTCGTCTATCCTCTTGTTCCGAGAATGGAGTTCACCGTTTCTTTCTTAAGTAAGTCCTTTTTAAATGTTTTATAGTTCCGTCAAAGTCGAAAAACAAAGTAGGAACGCTTATAGTACGCAAGGGTAAAGGTGACTGAGTTTCGCTTTGTTACTTTATGATGAACGAAAAGAGATAAGTAGGCGATAGCTTCGAGTAGAAGTGCACAATAGATTTGCAATACGCATAATTTCCAACAAAAGTTGGATGCTTTCTTCTTTCTTAGTGTACCATACAAATAACATCGCCTCCCTCTTGAACATTGCCGCGCACATCAATATACACGGTACCGAGTAAACTTGTATGAGCAAACACCAAGAACGAACACAAAGGAGCGGGCAAGGACGAGCGCAATCTTCAACCAGCTTTATTCAAATTATCACTCAATGAACCTTTCGCACTCGCTTGGCCTCGAATAGAACTAGTCGAAAGTTGCATTTTGTCCTTGCCCACTCCATCGTGTTCGTCGTCTGTTTGCGAATGCAAGTTTACCCGGTACCATGAACGAACCTGCCCAAATAGGCTTACTAATACACGGTGTATCTTTTTCAGCTGAAGAGATTTGTATTAAATGAGTCGTAAAAGTGACACCAATGTGGTTTGTGCAAATGAATTATAAGGCCAGGGGGCCACATTATTATGATGCCCGAATTGTTCCGATAAATTAAATAAATAACTAAAATGTGTTCATTAACTTTTCGATTTGTAAAGATATACATATGGTTCCAATTAGAAACCTCCTGAGCGTTATTGAAAACCACTAAATTTGTAACCTTTGAGAAAAACTTTTAGCGCGTTGTAAGCGACCAACCGCGGAACGGGCACAAGGCTGTGGCTATTATAAGAGACGGAAAAAACCGCGTGGGAACGTTATCAAAACAGTAGACATGCTCCCGCTGCACGAGAGGAAACTGTAGCGCTCCACCGTTCTTGTCGCGTGCTCCAGGGCTTTGTAAGATTGAAACATTTAGTCGCTTTCGATGACGTTCTGCATGTTTCTAATTAGTGTCATATCTTGGCAATTTGCGCCCTACACTCTGTCCCTCAGGCCGTATAAATCACCTGCATTAACCGCATTAGTGTATGTAGCCTTCGCAGCTTTTTTAAACAAATGTGTTCAGATTAAAAAGAACCCTATATAGTATGACATCAGTCGAAGCTTACGTATTCGTGTGGTTTATTTTAATAAAAGAAATCAGGATTATAACTGCTGGAATGACACGCCAAAACCAATAATGAGGAATAACTGGACCCTCCCTGCCAAGTATCTTGAAGAATACCTCACCGACGGGCGTGTCGATTTGTGCAAGGATCAACTATTTTATCTTGACCTTAAAACATGCAGCGTAAGTATCGCTTTGGACCTATATATTATAGTAATAAGCTACGTGGTTTTCCGAGTAGGTTCAAGAAAATGTAAAGAATAAAGCACAATGAGCCCTCACCTTAAAATTTTGCATCACAGCATTGAGTGGAAGACATACTAAAACCCGAGATGGAGGCGAAAAAAGAAGACAAAGCGACTTAAGATTCAGTTAAAGAAAGTGACCAAACATGACTGGGACTTCGCTCGATTTATAATATATCCTACAAGAGACCACAAACATGGGGCTCATACAAGAAAGATGGACATTGTAGGGGAGTATATAGTGGTCTCCAATCTTAGCATGGTCATGTGAATTCCCCATTTTAGACAAATAATGTTATCCTGATCTCCAATGTCTAAACTGCACTCGTATATATTTTTTTTGTTCATTCGGTAGAGGCGGCTAAGCTGGCAGTGTAAGGCGTGGAGCCTTCGGAAACGTAAGCTGGTGAGACGCTTGTTGAGCGGAAGATACCCTTCGTGCACGAGAAAAGAAACAAGCTGAACTAGCTGAATATATAATATTTAACAAGGCAGTAGTGATGGAGGCTCTATGTCACCATTCGGAGGCCGATGTTTGGAACAAATGGGATAGGAGTGTTACGTCAGCGTTCAGCTGGTACTCGTGTTCAATCATTGAGGACACGAGTCTTAGCCGAACGTTGATGCAGCCCTCGTGTTCGATATGTGCCCTCCCGCTGACTTCCAGTAAATCATATAGTAAATCCAGCACTAATGTTTTAACGCGAAAGCATTTACTGTCTTACTGAGCGAAGCCAGAGTTGTCTGTAGCAGCGAAACGGGACCTTGATTCCTATTGGCTGCGAAGCGTCATGCGACTCCATAGCAAAGGCATTCATCGTTTCTAAGGAGCCGGCCGAACTGCTCGCAGCGCAGCGCGAGGGCTGGGCGCGGGTATGCACTGGCCTGACGTCAGGCTTAACGTTACGCTTTGACGTTTAACGTCGTCAACCTGTGCGAACAGCTGTTTGACGTGACGGGGGGACGCGGGTATGCGCTGGCCTGACATTAGGCCTAACGTTACGCTTTGAGGTGTAACGTCGTCAAACGGTACTCGTAGCTAGGGCGATAATGATGATGAAAGGACACGTGATTTCAGCACGTGCCGCGCCGAGCCTCGCACTCCCGCCGCTGCCTCACCCAGCGGCACAGCAGTCACCTGCCAGCCATGCAGGGCGATCTGAGCGGCGCTCCGCCGCACTCCCTGCCGACGCTGCGGCCGCTTCTGTTCCTCACGGCGCCGAGAATGCTTTCGCATTCACAACTCACTAGAGGTGCTTAGGTGCCTTCAGAATAACTTATCATTTGTTATCTAAAAGGTGTCAACTAAAGTCACTGATTAGATGAAAACAGTATAGGGCGTGTCTTTCGAATGTCCGACCTCCAGCGCTTGCTCTTCGATTTCCACCACCGTGTGCGATCGAGGTTCACAAGAGGGTAAAGCGTAAGAAGCTCGCGGCGGTGGCGGGACAACTAAAACAACTCTTTGCCGTTATCCCGCTGTCAATGCCTAGAACTGCATAATATAGAAAGAGAGAGTGAGAGATAGCATGCCAGCGAGAGTATGGTGGCTACTGACACCTGGATTTGCAAGGTCTACCTTGCACAAGATGCTGAGTTCACGTAAAGGCAAAGTAGCAATTGCGTGAAGAAATCAAGGGAAAGTGAGACGAGCTTTTCTGGGAAACGTTTGGGCATCTTGCACCTAATTTCTCAATTCAGTGTTAAAGCTGGGCTTCACTACAGGTAGTCTGGCTGTCCTTTGGAATTTTTGGGCCTGAATCGTAAGCGCATGCCAGAGTTAGCCTTTACTTCTGGCTGTTCGGTTTTCATGTGGTGACTTTGAGCCAAAATTGCCAAGCAACTGCCAGATTTGGATTTCACTGCTTGTTCTTCGGTTTATAGACGAAGCATCTTGGGCTTAAGTCTGGAACTTGGGCAAAAATGTGGCGAGCCCCATAAAAGCCATAGAAGCGCCAAAGAAAAGTACTCCGGCATTAACTAACGCCTAGGAGCAAAACCATATTAGGACCGAGTTGGGTCCCTATGACTGCCATGGTTGTGCCAAGTTCAATGTTTCTTTGGCGTGCTCCATGGGATATGTCTGAGGGATGCGTTCCAAGGAAATCATGCATCATTTTGTTTTCAATGGCTTTATTCTTCGTTTCAATGAAACGTTAGCACATATTCGAAGCTACGAACTGACGGTGCAAGTCAAGCAGCGCGGCGCAACCTCACCCCGTTCGTCGTCCCTTTTTAATCATATGATATCACTAGCACAACCAATCAGGCGCAGTGATTGCACCGTTTAAACTGTGTTTTAACTTGTGCGTGCGTGTTGGGGTATGTCCAACATATTACGACGTTTTGATATATGGTTAAATGAAGTATAGTTTCATCATTTCCAAGCTGTGTTTTTGATTATAGAGCGTTGCGTAAATAAAAATGCGTTCCTAAATTTGCGCCTTACATCTGAAATGACGAATTTTGGGACTTGTTACGTAGGGGCACGGGTTTTCCGGTAGATTTTAGAGCAAGCACCTCAATTCATGACACCACGATAACATTAGTATTTGAACCGGCGCGACTTGACAATGGGAATTAGTGCCGCCGCGGCACTGCAGTCAACAGGGCAGCAGAAAATCGCTGCAGTTTGCACGTGCGGCCGCACGTGTCCGTGCACACGGTGCACGTGCACAACCACCACCATACTGACCGTACTGCCGAGGTGGCGGTGTCGACACCTATTGCGCTCTACACCACACGCCTCACGCGAGCCGCTCCGGTCCCAACACTACCTCCTATTGTAGTACACTCTACCACGACCGCAAACTGGGCATATGGAGGCCACCATGTTGCTCCTCGTGTGAAAAGGCACATGCGTTTGCAGTCCAGCCAAACCTATCTTCACGGGGATGCTCCACGTGTTTTCACGCGTAGGGTACCAGTTGGTACGTTTTGCTCGCAAACGTCTACAGGAATACCCCTGGAAATGACGCACCACTACGGCTTTCATCTTGAATACTACTTGCACCGTGTAATCAAAGAAGACACTTAACGTGTCCTAATGTCTTGACATGCATTCTTACAGAAGAGGTACACCACCGGTAGAAAGTCCCTAAGCTGCAGAGTGTCTTGCTGCGACGAAGGCACTACGGATCGTTCTGGTTACGTAGTAGAACCCGATGGAAGATACTGTGGCTTGCTGGGGTATAAGGTTGGTACTTGCACCCATCACTTGACAGAATCAAGCATACCAAAGCTTGTTTTTCCGCTCATCTCTCTGAAGGCTTTAGCAGCCGACATTTAAATCTCGCTTCATTTTTTCTTTTTCGTTTATCTCTCATGTGTTCTCTTTCTCTACCTTGCTTTTCCAAGAGTGTCCCTCTACTTTCTGGTGAAGATATTAGAAGCTTTCGTCCCTTTTCCTTCTGTACCTCATTTCTGAACACATTATGTACCTCATTTCTGAACATACCCCGTTTCACTTCAAGTTTGACCGCAACCTACAATCAACCTGACAGAGCAATTTAAGCATCGCCAAAAGTACATCACGGTGCAGATCACGTTTGCCTGTTTGCTGTCACCGACTAAACCACTCCCTTCTAGTGAATGCGCCACAATACTGCGTTTTTTTTGTTGGTAGTGTTTAATTTATACTGCGCGAACCCTCAAAGACAACAAGAGCCGTGACGATGCACTTTTGACCATATTTGAATGACTTGAACGGATCGTAGTGTCTATTGCGGTCAGACTTAATGTGAAGCGGGGAACTTCACAATGTGCTAGAGGAGGACGCAAGAAATAAATAAAAAGATTGTCTGCCTCGCAGAAAACTGAGCTGGTACGTCTGCTTTTAAGCGTCTATCATAGGTGTGCAGGTTCTCCGCATTTTTGATTGGCTTAAATACAAACAGTATGATGTTGAAGAGGGAAACAGAAGATAAACGTCTGTATTTGCCAAGTTCGGCACCAATCCTGAAGGATATTTCAAGTTCGCCTCATTTCCAAGACTACCAGTGTGCTTCGTGGCACTTGAGAGCGCTCTACAAGTCGGTAATGCGCCTTAGAGGGGGTCGGTGGCCGAGTGGGCTAGCGCACACTTTAGCGCACACCAGCTCGGAGCACTTGGAGCGAAAGTTCGCGCTGCAGAACACAGCATCCTGGGTTCAATCCCCACCCCTGCCCCCTTCGATCTTGATGAGCACCGTACCGGCGTGCGGTCGTATATCACTACTGCGTGGTGCACGTTAAAGACCCCAGGCTAGCGGTTGTACTGCACTGGCTAAATTTTTAATCTACAGCTTGGAGATTCGTCACCCGTTGAGGCAGACCAAGTTCTAAACTCTATAAATATACGCACAACCCAATTTTTTTTAACAGGCCTTTACTCTTCCCTTTGTGACGACACAACCAGGATTATCAGTTGTCGATAACAGGTTTGATGGTGTCTTCAAAAGGAACAGCGGAAAATTGGAGTCATCGCATTACATAAACCAACACCATCTGGGGGGACAGTTGGACGTTACTTTTACTTCCATCGATGAAAGCAAAATTGGTCCTACTCAACACGTCACAGTGAGCGTTGTTTTAATCGTGAAAGGCCGGCCAGGATAGCATCTTGGATTGGTCACGTCGCCAATAAGAGCGAGTAAAGCAACAGCTGACGCACATCACAAAAAATACTGACCAGCAGGGCCCGTTTGCTCGAAGCGCTAACCGCGGCTAAAGTTAGCCGCAGTACCTAAGAGAGGGATTTTGAAATCACGTGACTGACTTTGTAGGGATGCGGGGAAACATGGCGGTGCCCCTGTGAGTGAGCGCCGCTCGCTTTGAAACTAACACTTCGTTGTAGTTGCAATATCGAGCGTGTTAGTCAGCGACGAATGATGCAGGAGGCTTTCGCTTTGCCTTACCTCACTTAAATCGTAAAGCATGAGCAATGACTTCGCCGCATTTTTTGGATAGTCTTTCGACTCTGGCCATTCCTAAACCTAAATGAATTTGATAATTGTCGGCATGGCAACGTCTTTGGAAAGTGGATTGCCTTGACTCACTCGGCCAGGAATTTAAAGCACACAAAAGTACACAGCGTCCCAAGAGACCTTTTCTAAATTTCCCAAGTACCGAGGTCCATACTACGAGTGTATAGTTACACGTGTTACACGTGCTGGCGTCTGCAGTAGTGATTGTTCTAAAGCAAAAAGTATAAAAGAAATTTTGCCTTGCACGCGCGTTCGTCAAAGTTTTATGATGATTATTTACTTCGAATCTTTTATAAGAGGAAGGCCAGCGCGCGCGGGCCGTAGAACTACATTTCCAGCGTTCTCCTCGATGCTTGGGTAAATTAGAAAAAAGGTCGATTGGGGCGCTGTCTACTTTTGTGTGCGATCAATACCCGGCTGGTTGAGCCAATGCAATTCGCTTTCCAAAGACGTTGTATGCCGACAATTATCGCGTTCATTTAGTCTTTGGAACGGCCAGAATCGAAGGATTATCTAAAAAAATGCGGCGAGGTCATTGTTCATGCTTTCCAATTTAAGTGAGGTAAGGCAAAGCAAAAGCCTCCTGCACCATTCGTTGCTGACTAACGCGCCCGATGTTGCAGCTACAACGACATATTACAGGGTGATTCGAGGAGACGCCAGGCTCTTTAAATCGACCTCAAAATTCGGTTTCTTAACCTAGTACGCTACGACTTTGTGCAGCGTTGCCCGCAGATGGTGCATTTTTTTTGTAAAACTTGCAAAGAGCGAACTTACCTGAGGAAAAATTAAAGAAAGAAAAAGGCTTAGCTCCTATGGAAACGCAGCGAAGCCACCGGTCTTCAAACAACACGGCGCCGTTTCGCACGCGAGACAAGAGATGGCGCAAGCGGTCACGACGCCAACTGCCGCCAACAAACAAGCATACGACGCTGAGACCCGGCGTCTTTAGTAGACAAGGAGCTGCAGTTCCTTGTTGTTACCGCGCCTGTTTTTGTTTCTGGGACTGACGCCGCCTGTGGAACGCGCGCCGCTTTTAAGTCGAAAAGATCGTCTGCTAAAAACGCCGGCTCTCGGCGCCGTATGCTCGTTCGTTGGTGGCGTTCGTTGCGCCATCTCTTGTCTCGCGTGCGAAACGGCACCGTGTTGTTTGAAGACCGGTGGCGTCGCTGCATTTCCATAGAAGCTAAGCCTTTTTTCTTTCTTTACTTTTTCCTCAGGTAGTTCGCTCTTTGCAAATTTTACAAAAAAAAAAAAAAAAAGCACCATCTGCGGGCAACGCTGCACAAAGTCGTAGCGTGATAGGTTAAGAAACCGAATATTACGGTCGATTTAAAGAGCCTGGCGTCTCCTTGTATCACCCTGTAGTTCCAAAGCGAGCGGCGCTCACTCACTGGGGCACCGCCATGTTTTCCTGCATCCCTACCGAGCCAGTCACGTGATTCAAAATCCCTCTCCTAGATACTGCGGCTAACTTTAGCCGCGGTTACCGCTTCGAGCAAACGGGCCCAGGTTTCAGCTCCGAGTACGACAACGTGCATAATATTATGAACATAATTTGTTTTTATTGCTGTGAAAGCTGACTGTTAAAGACTGTGAAAATACGAGGATGGTGACATTTGATGTTTTCCGACTGCTGACTGCTATAGTAAAAAAAAGCAAAAATGATTTTTCGTTTTTTTTTTTTTTTTCAGATGTGCATTCATGGAGAATGTCTTGCGTTTACCTAGTTCTTCCTCCAAGACATTGAAAACAACTTTGGACGCCTAAAGTAAGGGTTACTATACATGCACAAAAAGTTAAGAAAAGGAGAATAAAAAAATAACGTAACTTTTGTGCCCAAGTTGTATTGTTACTTTCTGAAATAAAGTTTTTAGTTCGAATATGGGTCAGAATATTTTTTATATTCAGTCTATACCTCTAACTATACATATTTGCGGTAGCATTGGGTGAAACTTCTGGCGACCATCTTAGAAAATAAATTAAATCAGCATAGATCTGCAGAACGTTTAGCTCTCTAATAGTGAGTTCGTTTCCCACGCACTGGCACCGTGCGAGTTCTCTCCTAGAATGTATCGCACTCACGGGGTGCCACACGGAGAGCCGATCCCGAACAAACTTGCCGGTTGCCAACTGACGCTGTCGCCATCTATGTTCTAGCAAGAGCACCGACTTCAAACCAAAAATCACGCCCTGGTGTTCGGCATGACAACCGGGAACGAGAGACAGTGCGGTCGCTGCAATGTTTATATTTGAGATGAATTTAAGAACTCGATTGTTGAGAGAATATTTGCAGACAACGTATGTTACCACCACATTGTGTCAAAAATTCAACTGTTAAAAACAACAAAACTGAGCAATCTTACAATTCTGGTAGCATGTTCGCATTGGAGAAAACACCGCTGATACTATTTGCTTAGATGCTTGATCAGTTTTAAGCGTAAACTATTGAATTGATACTGTTTCAAATTAGTCAGTTAGAGTCTCCAGCAATACGTTTCGCGGCATCTTTTATTTTGATCCTTGGTCACATCAGCTTTTATTTCTGTGAGGGCGGTGAGATTAATCTTTGGTTAACATCACCATGTTTAGCTTTCTCGGCTGCTAATTGGACGGATCACAGCTTCTTCTAGACGAGCTTTCTTGACAAATGACCACTCGAGAGTCCACAATCGGCCATAATTCGTCAATAACTTTTCACCCGTACACCCGCGAGAGAAATATCGCGACCGCTGACATGTTTGTTCCGAGCCATATTTTACATCGGCAGATGTCAACGAAAGGACTAAAAACTTGCAAAAGTTTGGGTTGTCGATTGCTTCCTACAAGCTATACTAGAAAGTCACAGCTCAAGCTCGCGTTCACTCCCCTCTCTCGTGAAACGCAATTTGTAGCAGAAAACCCACTTTTTTCCGTTTTGTGCGAATAGCACCTTGTAGCAGATTAGTAGCTAACAATTCCCCGTCGTCTGCTCTCCCACCTCGCCTGCCTCGCCTGAGCAATGAATGACGGGATTGCATCCTGGCGCACGCTCGATTCTCTCGGTGCAGCGAGCGCATGCACGCTTTGAGTGCCGGCGCCGAAACGAACTCAGAAGGTGCCGCCACCCGTGGAGTGCCGACCGTACCAAACTCGCTCCACACTGCGAATGGGAACGCCTGGGCACGAGTGCAGTAAAACGAGCTTGCTATAAGGTCTCCTCTGGAGTGCGTCACAAGGCGAATGCTCGTGGGACCTACAACGTGGCCGTAGGTTGAGGAGTATGATCGATATCGCAGCTTAATCGCACTGTTGAAATGCGACATGATGCGTCTCAGATGGGCCGATATAATAGAAATTAAACAAATGTAAGCAAAATTCCTTCAACTTTTAAAGTTATAGCAGTCTTGCACGCGGAAGATTCCGAGAGCCGGAGGAACGCTCACCGGACAGAGGCTTATGACGAGCAATTACAACCTCTCAGGCACTAGTTCCCGGTCATGAAATAATACTGGCCACTTTACGTTTATATATTGGATAAAAGTTGACAATATTTTTCACTACTTTCTTCTGAAGGGTTCATGACGTAGCCGTGAATATATCTATATTTACGCAGTAACCGGGACTATACCGCAGTAACGGTAGTCAACGTGGCTCATTGCTGGTCATCCTGTGAGCAATCGACTTGGTGCAATGCCACCTAGACGACAGTAAGGCCTGCGCATGACGTCATTTTTAGTGAATCCCCGACCCGCCCCAAGCGGCAGAAACGCCGAAACTCGACGAGGGTCGCCGCAAAACGGCAGACGCGTCTGTCTTGGCGTCGCCGCGTGCTAGCGTCCCACTCGTTGTGGGACGTTGCAAGACGCGCTGTCGGCGATGCTTACTCAAGGTAGGTGGCGATGAGAGGATCCACTACTGATGACGTTTGGGAGGGGGTGGGGGGGGGGGGGTTGGAAGGAGCAGACCTCTTCTTCCAGGTAGTATTGCTTGGTGTCGGTAGCAATCGGCGCCTTGGAGGACCACGGCCCCTCGATTCTAGTTTTTGTGAGAACGGCCTGCCCCTTACGATGCTGCAAGAAGAATGAGGACTGGTAACAAACAACATTTATATTCACGCAGCTTTTCCTTTAAAGGGGTATTCACACGAGGGAGAAATCCCGGGGATTTCTCCCCGGCACGCGGGCATCACGAGATGAAAACGTTAGGCTTTTTGCACATCGCAAAGCCTGACGTTTTCGTCGTGGGATGTGCGTGCCGGGGAGAAATCCACGGGATTTCTCCCTCGTGTGAATACCCCTTAATGGGGTATCCACACGAAGGAGAACTCCGCTCCTTTCCTCCGCGGAGCGCGCATCACGTGAGACATACGTCATCCCTTTTTGACGCCTCGTGGCGCCGTTCTTTCGTTCTCCTCCGCGGCGGAGGCGCGGAGGCTTCGTGCTGTCAGCACGAAAGCTCCGCAGGTGCACGCGGCGGAGCCGGGGACGGAGTTTCCCGGTTGTTGACGTCACGACATCCGTCCGCGGAGTTCTCCTTCGTGTGGATACCGCATAAGGGGTATCCACACGAAGGAGAACTCCGCGGACGGATGTCGTGACGTCAACAACCCGGGAAACTCCGTCCCCGGCTCCTCCGCGTGCACCTGCGGAGCTCTCATGCTAAAATACGAAGCCTCCGCGCCTCCGCCACGGAGGAGAACGGGATGACGACGCCGCGAGGCGTCAAAAAGGGATGACGTATGTCTCACGTGATGCGCGCTCCGCGGAGGAAAGGAGGGGATTTCTCCTTCGTGTGGATACCGCTTTAAGGGGTATCCACACGAAGGAGAACTCCGCGGACGGATGTCGTGACGTCAACAACCCGGGAAACTCCGTCCCCGGCTCCGCCGCGTGCACCTGCGGAGCTTTCGTGCTGACAGCACGAAGCCTCCGCGCCTCCATCACGGAGGAGAACGGCGCCGCGAGGCTTCAAAAAGGAATGACGTATGTCTCACGTGATGCGCGCTCCGCGGAGGAAAGGAGCGGATTTCTCCTTCGTGTGGATACCGCTTTAAGGGTTGTACACACGAAGGAGAACTCCGCGGACGGATGTCGTGACGTCAACAACCCGGGAAACTCCATCCCCGGCTCCGCCGCGTGCACCTGCGGAGCTTTCGTGCTGACAGCACGAAGCCTCCGCGCCTCCATCACGGAGGAGAACGGCGCCGCGAGGCGTCAAAAAGGGATGACGTATGTCTCACGTGATGCGCGCTCCGCGGAGGAAAGGAGCGGATTTCTCCTTCGTGTGGATACCGCTTTAAGGGGTATCCACACGAAGGAGAACTCCGCGGACGGATGTCGTGACGTCAACAACCCGGGAAACTCCGTCCCCGGCTCCGCCGCGTGCACCTGCGGAGCTTTCGTGCTGACAGCACGAAGCCTCCGCGCCTCCATCACGGAGGAGAACGGCGCCGCGAGGCGTCAAAAAGGGATGACGTATGTCTCACGTGATGCGCGCTCCGCGGAGGAAAGGAGCGGATTTCTCCTTCGTGTGGATACCGCTTTAAGGGTTGTACACACGAAGGAAAACTCCGCGGACGGATGTCGTGACGTCAACAACCCGGGAAACTCCATCCCCGGCTCCGCCGCGTGCACCTGCGGAGCTCTCATGCTAAAATACGAAGCCTCCGCGCCTCCGCCACGGAGGAGAACGGGATGACGACGCCGCGAGGCGTCAAAAAGGGATGACGTATGTCTCACGTGATGCGCGCTCCGCGGAGGAAAGGAGCGGATTTCTCCTTCGTGTGGATACCGCTTTAAGGGGTATCCACACGAAGGAGAACTCCGCGGACGGATGTCGTGACGTCAACAACCCGGGAAACTCCGTCCCCGGCTCCGCCGCGTGCACCTGCGGAGCTTTCGTGCTGACAGCACGAAGCCTCCGCGCCTCCATCACGGAGGAGAACGGCGCCGCGAGGCGTCAAAAAGGGATGACGTATGTCTCACGTGATGCGCGCTCCGCGGAGGAAAGGAGCGGATTTCTCCTTCGTGTGGATACCGCTTTAAGGGTTGTACACACGAAGGAGAACTCCGCGGACGGATGTCGTGACGTCAACAACCCGGGAAACTCCATCCCCGGCTCCGCCGCGTGCACCTGCGGAGCTTTCGTGCTGACAGCACGAAGCCTCCGCGCCTCCGTTACGGAGGAGAACGGGAGAACGGCGCCGCGAGGCGTCAAAAAGGGATGACGTATGTCTCACGTGATACGCGCTCCGCGGAGGAAAGGGGCGGATTTCTTCTTCGCGTGGATATCCCGTTATAAGACGCCAGATGAGACGAAGGGGAAAGTTAAAAAAAGAGGTATGGCGGAAAGATAAGGCGTCAAGCGCCATCGCGCTTATGCCGACGTGGCCATTTTGCGTCTTTTGGGGCTCTGTCCTGGTTCATGTAGAGGATCGCAAGCTTGGGCAGTAGCATGCGACTTCTAGTTTAACGAGTCAGTGTTATTGTAACTAGCATGGTTTTTGTTTAAAATAGAATTGTTTCATAGGTATACCTTAATTGTACTGCAGAAGAAAAGTCATCCAGCGCTACATATAATTCAAACTGACCGCACACCGAAAAGGATATTTTTACATTTGTGCTCTCTTGAAGGGACGACATGGGACGACACCAGGGATTGACACACAAAAGTATTTATTTTTGTAACTATGACAAGCAAAACAAACCAACTCTGAAGACGGTGAGTGATGTATGTCATTCATACATTACAAATATCAGAATACAGATACAAAATGTATGAATAAGGCGTCAACAGTGCAACACTGGAAAAAATGTACAGTATTACAGCAAGACTTACAGCGAAAAATGCATAATGCTGGAGGGCATTTAAAGAAATTACCATCCAAGTTCCATGAAAAGCGCTTG